AGAGAAATAATGGACAAATGAGTTCTATTGTCCATTCAGGCTATACTAGCAAGTTCATTGCCCACCCCTTCAAAAAAAAATCCCTTGTTGTCCCTTTTCAGAGACCACTCTCATGAAGTGATTTGCATCGAGGGGGTAGAATCTCTTCTCTAGCCTTTCCCTTGATGCTGAGGTGGTACCAGCTCTACTGCCGCATGCTGGAGAAGAGATTCTACCCCCTCAAATCTGAAAAAGGTGGTTCATATCTCTTGACATGAAAGGTGCAAACTTCCTTTTAGATATTCACCCTTTCCCACAGATGATTCCTCAGATATATGGTAGCTCCCCACCATATATAGGGTCCTTCTGCTCAATGGAGCAACAGCATTGCTTTACTAACACATTTTCAGTACTAGTAGCACAGCTCAGATGCAAAAGTACCACCATCTTCCTGTTTGTAAAGGAGTGGCTTCTTACGGTACATGGTGTCTGGAAGTCCTCATTTCAACTTCCTTTCCTAGCATTCTTTCTGATTCTAACATAAGCTATAGAATTCATAAGAGAAACTCTAGATGTGGTCAGGACAAGTGCTCTCTTCTCTGTAGACCGATTCCACCCCACAAACAATCTGATAAAATAGATTACGGACACATGGTGTCATGTCCTTAGAGGACGCCTTTTGCTAAGCTCTACCTCCATTGCCTGAAAGCTTGCGTCTGAACAGCATATGTTCTGAGCAGACACAGCATGAACAGGTGACTGTGGTCTAGGGTGAAAGCCTCACAAACGTGGTAGAAGAACGTAGGGTTTGGGGTTCTCCCCCACACAGAAGAGCAAACAGTTGTTTCAAATTTCTCCCTGCTAGGGTAGGAGAGCCACATGGATGTTCACACACCTTAAGGCATTTGCATACTTCATGGAAACAGAATGCACATAAATCTTCTGGTATGAAGAAAAGTCCGAGAAGCCTGCAAAGCTATTTTACCACAAGTACAATCCTGGCCTATTAGGATAATATCAGACAACCTAACAATAATCTTTTGTGTAAACAAGCAGGGAGTAGTGAAATTCATCTACTCCTTTTCATAGAAGTGGTCAGTTTATGAAACTGGTATATCCATAATCACATCACCCGGGGCTCACAATTCATTGGCAGGCAGCCTCAGCAGATAGTTTGCCATCGATCACAGGTGGCTGGCACCGATTATGACACAGTGGTGGATGTTATCTTTGCTCAGTAGGCAAATCCTACTTAGAAACTGTTCACATCACAGAAGAACATTCTGTTCCACGGAAGCTCAGGAACAGGTGTCCAAGCCCAGAGGTCTTCTGCTCTCCTGGAATGGCCAGGTAAGAGCTGCCTTTTCTCCCAGCATGCTAATACCTCTAGTTCTGCAAAAGACAGGTGAGACAGAGTTCCAGTCATCCTAATTGCTGCCGAGTAGCCCAAACTGTATTGGTTTCCAAGCCTTTTGTAAATGTCAGTCTATCTACCTATCTTCCATCCTTCCCAAGTCTATTAA